GGTTTACTGCAGACGATGAGGGAGAGGGGAGGGAGAGAAGGCAAGGAGGGGCGGGTGTGGAGAAAGGAGAGGGGACCAGGAAGAGGGAGAAGAAGAGAGAGAGGTGTTGTTTATTGAGGTCCTGCAGGACTTTAAGACAATGGCTACACTGGATGGTGAAACCAGGCCCTCACCCCTCCCATCAGAGCCCAGAAAAATGCCCAGCTGCCCACTGATGTTTATTCCTTCAAGGAGCAAACACCTAGGGCAGGAACTCATGGCTCCACTCTGCTCAGGCTCCTCCTGCTCCCAAGACGTCAGCCAGGGTTAAGTGCCACGGAGGAGAAAGGGGCTCTGAGAGAAAGCTAATGGAAAGTAACTTCACAGGTTGATCTGATCATAAATTTCTAACTGGGCAGTCATGCTCCAGGTCTACAAAAAGGTTTAAGCAAGCCCTGTCCATTGCTCTTGTGCACTGAGGTTCACACGCCTCTGAAATGCCAGGGTAACCCTCTTTATCAGACCCTTTGGGGAGGTACCCACCAGCAAGGGAGCACATTCTCTTGTAACTTTCCTCTGTGCCTTGCTTTCTCCCACCTCCAGGTAACTGACCTTACATTCCCTCCTTATTCCAAATGTATCGGAGGAACAGCAAAGCTGTCATTCTCTGGGGCATTGTGAGATCCGGCTCCCTGGCATGTTGTCAGTTTGGCTCAAATAAACTCTCACAAAAATGCCTACAGGTTTGGGTGTTCTCACATTGCCAGTGCAGATGAGGCCCAATTGTGAGCGTGGTTAGCTACCCCAGCCCACGAGACCTTCTGCTAGACTGAGTTGCTTTAGATAAACTCCATTCACAAACCTTATTTTAGAAAGGCCAAGATTCGCCCTCAAAACCATCTGCCACAGCACCGATAACCAATCCTCACTGCACTGATGCACTGCAGTGGGGATGACTCAGGTCTGCCCCAACAATGGCTGGGCCCGGGACAAGTGGAGGCCCACAGACCACAAGGCATATATTTAAATCACACTAATGAACTGTTAAAATAGGTTCTACCGTTGTCCTCAACAGCCTGGAAGGCCAGGTCCAACTCCTTAGAGTTTCGTACCAGAAAATAGGGTTGTATGAGGAGGACCAATCCCCAGCACCCTTTTGGAATGGGGAATTCTGGGATTTTGGTATCTGAAATGTGGTCTAGAACAGTGGACGGCAAACCTTGGCTCACGAGCCACATGCGGCTCTTTGGCCCCTTGAGTGTGGCTCTTGCACAAAATACCACGTGCGGGCACGCACGTACAGTGCGATTGAAACTTCGTGGCCCATGCGCAGAAGTCGGTTTTGGCCTGGGCGAGTCTATTTTGAAGAAGTGGCATTAGAAGAAGTGGGGGGTGTCGGTCAGTTGGGCGACGGGAGATGCGGCACAGGCGGGCCGAGGGATACACAGTGCGGGGGGAGGCACGCGCGTGATTCATACATGAGTTGAGGATGGGACAGTTGGAAGGGGTCGACCTCAGTGAACATACCACAATCAGATTGAGGACGTTTTTAGCAAAGGCCAGCTTAGGAGTACCCTAATTAAGTTCATAACAATGTACCTACCTATATAGTTTAAGTTTAAAAAATTTGGCTCTCAAAAGAAATTTCAATCGTTGTACTGTTGATATTTGGCTCTGTTGACTAATGAGTTTGCCGACCACTGGTCTAGAAAGAAGAACACAGGCTCTGGGTGGGCACATCCCTTTGGCCCTGCAAATTCCTCACCCCACTGAGAGGGCCAGGACTCAGGAGGACCAAAGTGGGGCCCTCTAGTGTGGGGCTAGGTCAGGGCACCCTCTAGGGTCCAGTGGTTCTCAACCTGTGGGTCGTGAACAATGAAAATACATCCTGCATATCAGATATTTACATGACGATTCATAACAGTAGCAAAATTACAGTTATGAAGTAGCAACGAAAATAATTTTATGGTTGGGGGTCACCACATCATGTGGAACTGTATTAAGGGGTCGCGGCATTAGGAAGGTTGAGAACCGCTGCCTAGGCCTAATGGGGGGTGGGTAAGGAGTAAGACCTCCTGAATGTTCAGTTTTTTTCTTTTCTATTTTCAAGAACCGCCTCTTCAGAAAGTTCAATTAAGACTCTGTTACTTGGTTTCAAAATGAACTATGTGAATTACCCTCCCCAGGATTAACAGGAGAGAGGTTCTGAAGGTGACGCTAGCTTTATCTTAACCTGGGCATAAGACCCTTCCACCCTTCTGCTTCCCAACTGATGCTACAATGCATTTCTTCCAAAAAAAAAAAGAGGAACAGGAGCCCTCAGCTTCTCATAACACAGACTTAGTGCAGGGGTTCAAATGAAGAGTCCGATCATTCAGAGGTTCTGCTCCTTGTTCTTTCGGGGTAGAACTTCAGGAATTTAATTCTGTCTCCTGAGATAATGTTGCCATCAATTGAAATATCCTATCAGCATCTATTTGGAGTGCGTCCTGAAGCACTGATGATCTGGTCAGCTGCCAAGCTATTATTGTTGTCTGGCAAACTGTGTTTCAGAAAGATTAAACCAACAATAGGTTGAGTAATTTTCTCATTGAAACCATAGTATTCACTGCCTTGATAGGATTGTAGAATTAAGGATTTCACTTGTCTTCCCCATCTCAGTGAATGTCATTCACATATACTGCTATTTAAGTCAGAAACCTGGGAGTCCACCTGACTCCTGCCACTCCACCAGCCCCACATCAAGTCCTCTTATCTCCACCTCCAACATTATAAGCCCATCTGCCTCTCTGACTCTACTCAAGTCGGAGTTATCATTACTCTCATCTGGCCCACAGTCTGGTCGCCCCACTTATAATCTTATTTATAATCAGTTCTCACCTCAGCGGCCAGAAGCACATTTTAAAGACACAAATCAGTTTCCTATTGAATCTGAATAAAATCCACACTCTTTGCTGGGACCCTTAAGCCCCAACATGACCTGACCTCTGCTCTTCTGTTGGATCTCATCTTGGGATTCCCTTCCCCTCCCCTGCTTGCTCTGCTCGACTGGACGCCTTGGGGATCCTCAATCATGCAAGCATCTCCCCGCTCAGTCGATACGATTTCCTCTGCTCACCCTTCTCTTATCCCACCTCCTACCCACCCAGCCTCCAGCTCCCCAGCCCCACATTCCCAGACTCACCCCTTCCCCCAACCACTCTCACTTCTCAGTCATTAGGTCTCAGTTTGAACACCACCTTCTCTGAAGACCTGGTCTGGCTGCCCCAAGAAGATTCCTCTATTTTCCTCTATCACTGCCCTCTGTTCATTCCTTCAAGTTTTAATTGTCTACTCAATTTAACTAAATCCCATGAGGACAGTGACCTTGTCTTTTCTGGTCATCATTGTACACCTAGTACTTAGCACAGTGCATGGCCTAGAGTAGGTGCTCAATAAAAATGTGTAGAATGAATGAATCAGCACGTATGAGTCCCTTAAGGAACTTTTAAGTTTAAAATCTAAATTTTATTTTAAAAAAGGTTTCAGAGATGTCAAATCATCCTGGAATCAGAAAACCTTTCCTCTGCAACTTAAAGTCATTCTGAGAAGGCTAACATCTCCAAGAAGCTAGGAGTGGGCAGCTGAAGAGTGAGATCATGTGCAATGAGAATCAAAGGGCACCGAGAAGCCTCAGGCGCTGGCCTGATAGCTTGAGGAAGAGGCAGCAGGAAGCATTAGAACTTTCTGTTTGTTTGCTTGTCTAATAAGCTTGTGAAATAGGCTCCTTTGAGTCAGAGCCTCCTCCAGAGTAACCAAGGACTGAGAGGGACAGTGATGGTGCCACGGAGAATTGAGCAAAGCACCAAATTGGGCAGAAAAGTATGTATTTCATTTCTGGTCCCAGTTCCTTGAAAACAAACTGATTGAGTTCTGGCTTGGCTAGATCCATTTGTGATGTTCTAAGGTGGTGGCTGGCTAAGGCAGTTGATGGTGCTTCCTTGGGCACATTGTTCTGGCAACAGTAGGGAGTCCTGCAGGAGAGCGGCTTCTTTGGCATGAGAGTGGAATTCAGAAACCGTACCTTGACCTGGTGGGTCCTGTCCTCAATTCAGTTTAGAACAAGGGGAGAGAGTGTGAGCAGGGCCTGTGGCTTCCATTTCACTCCTTGATAACCCTCCCTTTGCCTGGTCGGACATGTGCTTCACATACCCTACATCTGCTGTTCCACCTTCTCATCCCTTCTGTCTCAACTCAAGGTACATTCAAGGAAGATGACAGGGAAACACAGCCCTGTCTTATCTACTAAACAACTTCCATCCACAGAAGGTTCTGCCTGAATCACTTCTACTCCCTGTTGGAAACAGAGGCAACAGCTACTACATCCTGATTCCCCCCAAAGCTCTCCTCCTCACTGAAACCCAGTTTAGAACTGTCACCCTGCTGCCACTCACAAGGACCTGCATGTCAAATACAAGCAACATCACTGTTGTGCTGGGATGAGAAACATGTTTTTGTTTTGTTTTTTAAGTAAAAACAACGCTATTGAAGGTTTATTCATAAAACCCTGGAGGATTCCAAACACAAGAAGTTCCAACCATCTTACAGAGGTCTGGTCTATAAAAGTAATTTTTAAAAGGAAAAGAAGCCCTCATTTCATGACAAAGAAAGTCTCAGCCCATCGAGTGTTGTGCAAGATCAATGTTTTCATGTCCCGGAGCCTGACATTCCCCAATAGGTGGGATGCGATGACTTGGCATTTTGGTAATTGTGCCCAAACACGCAGAGGTTTCTGAGCAAGGGACATGGACATGCTTTTAATAAAAAGGAGAAGAAATCAATAACAGACGAGTGTCCCAGCAGCATGGCAAACTAGTTCAAGTTGTATAATTCTCCTTGGCATTTCCTAAGAGCACAGAGGCACAGCTTGGGGAGGCAAAGTGAGGAGGGAAATCCTAACTGTAGTACAAAGAGGTCTAAGAGGGAACAGACCAAACTGTGATGCATAAAACTGACCACAGGACCCCTCAACAGGGGTGAGGCCAAGCAGCCGGTATATCACTTGTCGACTCTTGCACATCATGGCCCTGGAAAGACAGGGTGGTAGGGGGCCAGGGATTTCTACTCTAGACCTCCGGGTGCCATGGAGAAGTGTGGCAGAACTCATTCTGCAGTCTTTGCCTAGTCAGTCTGCAAGACAGATCTGTCCTAGGTGGCAAATTAGAGGTTGGGTGGAGAAGACACTGTGATAAAATTGGGGGTGGGTGGAAGAGGATTTGCCACTGTAGTTGGGGCTGGATGGAATATCCTTTCACTCTTCATTGATAGACAGGGGCTGAGAAAACCTATACACAGCTCTGGGAATCTTGCTTCACTTGTGACAACTGTATCAGGAGAGTGATCACAACTCTATCCCGGGAGAAGGACCCACAATACAGAAGAATCCCCACTCCCTGTCAGTCTGCGGATCTGAGGGGAAAGTGAGGTTCAGTGGCTGCCTGGGTACATCTTTTGGAGCATTCAGTGAGGCACAAGGGGGAACAGTCCACATTGGTCATGGTCGCTGTGCCATGTGCCATCTGTGTTCTCCAAACTGCACGGGGAGTTTAATTACAGAGGCTTATAAGAGCACAAACGAGGGTTATAAAAATGCATCATTCTGGGGTAACAGTCAACATCAGACAACCAAATGTCAAAAGCACTCCGTCAAAGCTACAATGTGAACTCTGCAAATCAGCCCAAGTTAGGAGCCCAGATGAACTCGCTCACGTTACATGAAGCTTTAATGGTTCCCAAATGTTTACGACGCAAGAGCCAACCCAAAGGAATATTTCCACTTACCACATTTCACAAAGTAAAATGATTATTTTTAGGGACTCCTCATATATTCTGAGAGAAAACTCTATTCTCATTGATCTCAAAGCACATTATAGATGGACAGTCAAGCATTGACAAAGAAGCCTTGCTCCCGCCTCTCTCCTGCCTCTGTGCTTTTGTGGGTTCGGAAGGATTGTGAAATCATCTCTGCTGAGAGAAGAAGGAATGAATCTGGGGGGAGGGAATGATAACTGCAGCGGGCCTCATCCTCTCAGCGGGTTGATCAGAAGTTTTGCGTTTAAGTGAAGACACTTGCAAAGCTGGCTAATTACACCCTACTCTGGAGTTAATCCACAGACCACTTTGCTCTCCTCATTCCAAACTGAGGCTCAAACAGAAGGAAACTCATTATGGTTGATATCTGGTGCAGGGACCACTGACCTCCATCCAGTGTGAGCACCATCTTCTTTAGCACATCTGCTTTCAAAATGCAAACAAGTCACAACCCTCTGGGGGGCACAAAATGCCTACTTTCAGAGGGGCAGCCAGGTCCTGGGCTATGGGAGAGCAGGACCTAATAATCTTGGATTCTAGTCCTCATCCTGCTTACTACACCCATGACACTGATCCAATGACTTAATTTCTCAGACCTATTGCCTCCCAACAATAATTCCTGCCCATCTCCTAAGGTGGTTGTGAGGATCAAATAAAATGAAG